GTCAGGTCACCCCCTGCGTCCACAAGAAGTGTGGCAGAAGTTTTTCTCATTGAGTGTCCTTTGTATTCTTCCCAATTTTCTAGTTTTAAGAATTTTGCGATTTTCTGAGGTACGGCACTGAATTTGTGTATACCGACGACACCCGATGACATTTTCCATTAATACATTTTGAAAAAAAATCGTCGTTATTTGAAGACCACAGAGCAACATAGTTTCGAAAAAACGTTAGATGCCTAATTTTCTCCCAAAACCATAAATGAACGGGACCTTTTGGTTTTACTTTGATGAATTTTTAATAAGCAAGGCTGATTTTACGTCCTCAATGTCATTAATTTTTAAAATAACTAGTAAATTTTCGAAATTTTATTCTTTTGTATTACATATTTTTGACAAGGTTTACCTTCATCATCGAATATATACTATCTGGCGCGGCATTTTGCTCTTTGGTAAATTACCTTGCACTTCTTTGGTTGATAGCCGTCGCCTTGGTCTTTTCAGGAAAGAGCGGAATTTAGAATATTTGCTTATATACAGCGTGTTATTGAAAGGTACGTACAAACTAAAATCGGCAATTGGTCTCGAAGTATGGGTGCTAAAAGTTAAAAAAAGTTCAGGTAAAAGTGTTCTCCTTTTAGAGATAAAAATTATTAAAATTAATGTCCAAATTCGTTGTACGCCTCTGATAAAAAATCATCTCTCGTTTCTATAGCAACATTTAGTCTTGACAAAAGTTTTATTGTTACAGTTGCTAGGATTTACTAAAATAAATTAATTTTACCTATTTATCTTTCAGTAGCATCTAAAAAGGTTGGATAAGGGTTAATTTTCACCTTATAATTTTGATAGCACAAAATAAGTTTTTCAGACTTCTTAGACTCCGCGAAGAACTTTCAATTTTGTTGTACGTACCTTTCAATAACACCCTGTATATCCACTCCGTTTTTTATATCCAAGGTACATTGAGTATTGTGCCGAAAGACTTGATGGTTTCATTTTAGTTACCATAAGAACGTCTTCTGTACAAGATTGACAACGTTTTTTTTGCATCAATCCATGAAACGTCTATAGGCAAATTCATAAATTTTACGAGAGTTTGGGGGAAGCAAATTCAAAGAAACTTCTTTTGCACAGTCCAATATATCTGAAGGTATATCTAAATCTTCACTTGAACTAATTTTGATGAAAACTTCACAAACTAATATGGACTATGGCGCAAAACATTTGACAACTCTTTGCAACTATCCATAACTACATTTGTTTTGGTTACTTGTTTTATTATTCAATTTAATTCTAATCTAGCGAACAGGGCTAAACTTCTCGATTCCAATTTTTTTATCTCAGTTCGCGAAAACTGAGCATATGTTATTCTGATTAAAGTGACATTTTTTGCCTCGCAATTGATTGTTTCGGGCGATTACGCTAAGCTTCGCTTTGCAAATACAATCAATTGCTCGTCAAAAATACATCTTATTATACTACAACCTTCAACCGCCGTGACGTTTAAATCAACACCAACATTTGCCAACAAAGTCGCTGAGGTCGTTCTGACAGTATGCGCTGTGTAAGATTTCGGATCTTAAAGTTTTAAATATTCGGCAACTTTTTGAGGTATTTGTTCTATCGTATTTATGCCCACAAGCTTATTTACACATTTTGCTTGACGCACTGATTAGAAAAATCGACGACAATTTGTCTCCGTACATATTTTCAAAAAATATTCATGAAAGAAATGTTTTCATTGGGTTTATCAATAATTGTGAAAGTTCGATTAATATGTGTCTTTTTGTCAGGTACAATCGCGGCCCTTTGGCATAATGAAGTTTTAGTTTTTATTATTATAATTTTTTTAATATCATAATAGCAACTTGAATGTAAGCTCCTGATTTGTTAAACAAAGCATTAATTAAACCATAATTTTTTTTTAATTTGGAAGAGAGTGTCAAAGCTAGTGGTCCGGTTTTCTGTGGCCACGAGTGTACATTAACCGTGACATGACGTGATCCGTAATGTCATCAACCGTCATCTTTGTAAGCTCTTCACACTTAAATTTAGGGGTTCCAGCAATTATTATCATAGCAACTGTCATCATGATATAGATTTCGTCAGGAAGTCCTGCAGACATTTGTTCATTTCCTCTCTGGTAAATACCTTAGTTTTTTTAATACATAGTACCGTGAGATCGAAAAAGAAATTAGCCAAAGTTGGCCATGCACGACAAGCCGTTTGTCGTAATTTAATTTTTTTTATTAAATGTCAAATTGACAGTTTAAAATTAGAATTATGACACCTACTTTTAAAACACATGAAAATCAATTAAAATCACCGTTTTCCAATTTCGTCTCATTTCTGAAGTAAGATTCTAACAAAAAAGTTTTAATTTCGTTTGATATCATTGCAAATTACTTTTGTCAACCTTTTGTTTGTTTTTTGTTTAATAAAAAATTATTTTAAACTAAGACAAACGGCTTTTCGTGCATCGCCAACTTTGACTAATCAAATTTTTAGTAATTCACTTATTAGCAACTTCATTGTGTAATGTAATATTAGTAAAGTCGGGCTATTAACAAGCGAACAAAAAATTTTAAAATAATTGTTGACACAAATAGCACTCTTTTAAATCTAATACTTCAGATCTTTTTCTCAAAGTAGCCATAATATGTATAAAATATATTCAAATAATAAAAAACGAAAAAAACTAGGTCGACGCCACAGAAGTTAAGGCTTTATTATAAAGTGAGAACTAACATGTTTCGTCACCTACTGGTACCATCATCAGAGCTAGGTGATGAACAAAAAATTAACTTACAAAAATATTAAAGTTAAGAGACTTATCGAAAGTACAAAACTTAGTAATTCCATAATTATACAAATTAGGCTTGAAAGTTGTTGTTAATAAGTAAATTAAAGACATCTAACGAATATTCTAGAATGAAAAAGGTAACTGGCGCCATCTATGAAGTATTGTAGAAAAAGAATGTTAATATATCTCGTAGAAAAAGGTATAGAGTTATTAAAAAATTAAAAATGTCTTTTGAAAAAGACAAACCAAGTCTAAAGCACAGAAAGAGAGAAAAACCAGACGTGGAGAGGACCGTAACATAGAAGTATTTTTAACAAATAGGTAGGAGGGAACGAAGGACAGGGGATTGAAACCAGTTTGTTCATTCCTACAAATTAGTTTGGGATCTCTAACTGCTTTATAAATTTCAAAAATTACGAAAAAATTGAGAGTGGTACTTTTGTTTAAAATATGTAAAACTCTAACATTATTAATGCGATGAAAGGAATGTTCAAATTTTAAAAGTTGATTGGCAAAAGTTGAGTTTGTGTTAGTTATACCAGTGTTTGAAGAGTGAGTGATATACTATGTAGTGTAGTCATCAGTTCATCACATTTTAACTGGTAAAAGCTCGAACGAAAGAAAATAGGGTTGGCGTCTTTGTTTCTTACGAACAAAGAAGAAAGGTTAAAGGAAGTCTTAAAGACAATGTTATTTACAATCTAGTTTTTTGAACATTTTGAAAATAGATGGAAAATTTAAGAAGGTGACTGGAAATTGATATAATTCATGGGAGAGTTTATCTTGATATAGGGTTTTATACAGGGCTTTTATAAATGATTCTAAGGGCGTAGTCGGCCATGGATTTCAAAAATCCCGCCTCGCTGAAATTATGCCCGTGATTATGTATCATTATGACGGTTCTCACTTATCACACTAATGTCTAATGTCATTTGTAACCTTTCATTTAAAGTCGTCGTTTTTTATTGTTTTAATGTTTTTCAAATGTGAATTACAGTAATTCTCGTTGATCCAAGGTCAAAACAACAAAACATTTCAGAACTCTTGGTGGTTGCGTACGAAAATTTTGTTTTTGTGCACTTTCATCGTTATGTCTTGTTATCGCAATAGGACTTCGTAAACGAAGAGTTGTGTATTCTGTAACCGCTTGTAAGCAAGAATACCTGTGATATTTAACCGCAATATATTTGTTTCTTTTTATCGTAATGAATTAGTTTTATTTTTTAAAAACATATGAAGCGTTTAGGCAACCAGTTATACACATGTGTGTGGTCCATGTGTGATCTTTGTAATGCGTCCTTGGGCACTTACTAGGGATCTCCGTAGAGTTACATTTGAGAGGCGGCACGTTTACATAACCTACCCTATAATCATTTATAGAAACCCTGTACCAAATTTACATTCAACATTTATAAATCTGTTCAGAGAAACATTTTAAAATCTAAAATATTTTTTAAAGTTTTTTTTTATCTAATCTTTAGTGTTAACTTTAGAGATTATTTACAAATTACTTTCAATTAGTTACATGAGACGATCATTTATAATCGTTTTATCTCTAGTGTTTTTTATGATTTGTCGATTTTACAAATAAACTTACTGTAGTTTTAGCACACCTAGATCCATACATCTTCAGTTCAAGGTGGGTACTTAAAAATTTGTGCACTGTTTTAGCAAAATTGTGATTTTTTTATCGTTGTTTGCGGCTCATTCAGTTACGTAATGCTATCACTCTCTCTGTCAAAACAAACCGAATGATAAGCACATCAAACACTGCTCATTTCATCCTATTATTTACCAAGATTACTAACCGCCTCTCAAAACCAACAAATCCAATCGAAGAAGCGCTTATTGAAAAACAATCCCGAACTATGGACGTATCACGTTCCGATAACCCTTTTTTAAATCAGACCAGTTGCTGATCCACTTTCAAAACAAAATGAATTTAAAACTGTCATGTGTTGTTTTATTTGCAATTCAGATATCGTATCTCCAAACGAAAGGTAAAAATACCTGCATCAGGAAACATCCTGGCAGGACATGACGACACTCATGACCTACTGAGTGTTATCAAATCACGGTGCTTCAGTAGTGTTGATTGTTATCTAATCATGTATTTAATCTCAAGTGTCATGAAGCATGATTGAAGAAAGATCGACGAACATGTGAGTTTTATTAATGCAAGTGATCATGTTTTCCGCAGAACTGCCCAGCGAGATGAAACAACTCCTCACGGACGTCACTCCGAACTTCGACGAGAATCTGAAACGTGTAAGTGGACATATTTTAGGGGCTTTACCGGAAAATAATCGGTTTAATTTAGGCTTTTAGGAACGAGGCTGTTAGATTGCAACGCAAACAGAACACAAACCGCTACGTTCATCAGCTGGACGACGTTCTCTTATCTGTAGATGATACCAAAATGTATATATTTATATTCCACGCTTTAGAACAACTTTATGATAGGTCGTGATTTTCGCCGGTGATTGTTAGCAGATGATTTTGAAATTTATTCTTTCGTAAATTATTAACTTTCAAATGGAACTGGGGACGTCATTCAATTTTAAATGAGTTAAGATCCTGTTTGAAACTTTTGATTCTGAAAATTCAATTTTATCAGAAAAAAGTGGGACTTAATATGAAGTTGTAACACATTATCAAGTACACGGGTAAAGTAAACGAAAGCGGTTTTGTTTTATGTGTTTACGTAATTATTGTGTAACAAATTTCTATTAGTGCCATTAGCTCTAACATTTTAATAACACATATTATACCCTATAGATATAGGGTTCATTGAATGTTCTGAAACGGTTAATTATCTTTGTTATTTTCAAAGCGAGTTTTTACAAATTGCATGTATAATGCTACAAAATAAACAATTTATTGATGATGGTTTCACTCTTTTCAGATTAAACCGGAAATGACCGTAAATTAAATTAAAAATAAGGCAAACCTCTTTGTGTAAACAGAACAGGCATAAGTTAAACTTAGTCACTGTTCGTATTTATGAATGCAGTTTTTTTCTGTAACCTAAAATGAAAAAAAATTACAAGCTGTTCCAAAACAGTAAGTTAGGGTAATTTACGGCTAAACTGGAAGTACAGAAAGGTCATGAGCAAATTTTGATTATATTAACAGTGCTTGTTTCCTGAATGACAGCTAAGAGACTAATTTTGTGTTTTCTGGACCTTTAATGGCCCATAGAATCCAAAAAGGCACGTTTGCGCTTATCTACCGTCTCAGTAAATGTATTAACCCATTATTATGAAGTTTTAGGTTTGTGTTGAGATTATTATGACAGCCGTAAAACGTTAACCAATTTATTTCTGCAAAATTGTATTCTTAAAATGCTACTAAATAAATCTCACATAAAATTTTGAAATACCATGCTACTTTAACTCTGGCTTAATAGTAAGTACTACTTTATTTTTAACATCAAGTATATGGATTATCTATACTTACCCGTAAATAGAAATAAAATAATTAAATTTTATCAATTATTATCATTTATCTAAAATTACATAATATATGGAATTTTTTAGAAAATCTCATTTTTAGGAGTTTTTAAAAATTTTGCTCTGTGGTCGCTAGACTGTATGGAAACGGGTAAATATCTTGAGAACCAATTGCACAAGTCACCTGAAATTAGGTGTCGGGGTACAAGAAGTTGTGCTCTAATTATTCGTCAAAAATTTTTTTGCTTCATTTGTTTTTGAGATGCAAAGCCTACTTGATTTGTTTTTAAATGGGACTACCATATAATTTTATGAATATGTTTTTGAATAGAACTTTCTTTCTGATTGAAATAGCAAAAATGAGAATTTCTGGGCGAATGCTAGTAGTTTCGTTACGTACGCGTTGCTGTTTTAACTTTTTGTTGTGAAAAGATGACTAAGTATATTAAGAAAGAAAAGGCATAACGTAAACCCCACCCACCCGCCCTATCTCTATTGTGACGATTTTTTTTTACCCGTCGTAAGTCGTGGGGCGGAGCTTAATTGCAAAATTCTTGTTTTTCTACGAGAAATTGCTAGGTGAAACATGTTCTTGAGTAATTGTGTTGCTTAAAGCAAACTATACCTATGTATTAAGTAAAAAAAAAAGCCAAAAGATAATCCATTCGTCTCGATCTCAATCTGGCTTTAATTTTTAGTTAAAATATAGTATTCCTTGAACAACACGATACTCAAAAACATGTCTTACGTGGTAATTTATTGTAGAGACATACGGATTTTGCGATTAAGCTCCGCCCTCTTGGCTCAGGACGAATAAAAAAATATCATCACAATTTAGACAGGGCGGGTGGGCGGGGCTTATAGTTCCTTTTCGTCGGTTCCCTTCGATTTTCTTGGAATTAAAGACCGACAACCTGTCTCATATGCTTCTTCAATTTCTAGATTTCTGTCGGAATTGTCTTTGTCAGCCATTAGATATAACTACGTATAGAATCTTTTGATATTTTTGATAAGGATTATAAATTTTATGTTCATAAAATCTTACAATGAAATTGATAATCACAAAATTATTAAAAATTGAGTTTGTTTTCGATTTTTAACACCTTTCTAACAAAGAAATGCAAGGGATTTTAGGCAACGGAAACCATTTCGTACTTTGAAAGTGTTCTTGTCAAAGTGTCAAATTAATTTAATCTGAATTTTTTATGATGTGGTTTTAAAAACTTCACACTTTACATGGTTGTGAAGTGAATAACAAAGTCTTAAAAATTGAAATATCTCGATTGCGTCTCGAGTTTTCAAATTTTTGTCGATTTCGTTGAAATTGATAATCCCACCCATTCGTCTCGATATCCATCTGGCTTTAATTTTTACTTAATATACATAGTATTCCTTGAACAACACGACACGATCAAAAATATGTCGTACGTGGTAATTTCTTGTTGAGAAATACACAATTTTTGTGCGAGATTCGATTTAAACAAAAAAAAAAAAATTATAAAATTTTAGCTACTATACTCTTTTTCACATAACATGGGTGACATATGGTTGTTTTCGTTACACGTATAGTGTACAGTAGAACCTCGATTATCCGAATTAATTGGGAAAAAGGTGTGTTCGGATTAACGATTTGTTGAAAACAAACTTCAAGAAATAAACCTTAATTTTATTAAACAAAATTAAAGAATTTTTAAGCAACAATGGATAATAGATACATTTAAAAAAAAATATTACTCCGTGACCATAAACACGCTTTCTTTTTGGAATTAACACGCCGGGATCTATACCGTGAATTTTTTCAGAATTTTTAGATGAATTTTTCAAAAATGAAATTTTTCATTATGTATTACCTCCATTATACAAATTTCGACCCATTTTCGACGATTTTCGAAATTTAACTAAATACATTTTCTTGTAGATTTTGGGCCTCAGAAGTCACTTCTGGCTTCATTCCTTCGATAACTTAAACCATTTTTCCAGATTCGTCCAGTTGAAATATTGCAATTTTTAAAAATTTCACACGGAATTTTCCGCAAATATTGCTCAGTTACCATTAACATGCTATATTTTTGGAATCAGCACGTCGGGATATATATCCTTGAATTTTTTCAGAATCTTTAGGAAACTTTTTCAAAAATGAAATTTTCCTCATGCAAATTTCAACGCGTTTTCGACGATTTTCGAAATTTAACTAAATACTTTTTCTTGTAGATTTCGGGCCTCATTTCTTCGATAACTCCAACCTTTTTTCCAGAATTAGTTAATTAATTCAGTGCATCGAACTATCGCAATTTTTAAAAATTTCAAAATATTCCATACAACATATGCAGAAAAATCTTGGGTCATTTTTGCAAATAGGTGCGTGTTTCCAAGTTCAGCTTGGATTGCAGAGTTTTGTTCGGAAGGAAGAAGCATCGACTTCAAATAGCCTCTGTTCGGATTACTGAATGTTCGGATAAAAAAAATCATCATAATTGAGACAGGGTGGGTGGGTGGGGGGTATATTTTGACTTTTTTTTCTTAATATACGTAGTCATCTTTTCACAACAAGGATTTAAAACAAATAGCTACCTACATTAGGAAAAAAGGCACAATATAAGCCCCGCCCACCCGCCCTATCTCAATCGTGATGATTTTTTTTACTCGTCGTAAGTTGTGAGGCGGGGCATATTTGCAAAATCCTTGTTTTCGTACTAGAAATTGCTATGTGAAACATGTTCTTCTTATTTTGCCTTCTTTTTCTTAATATACATAGCCATCTTTTCACAACAAAAATTTAAGTGATTTGTACAATTGGTTCTCAAGATATTTAACCGTTTCCATACAATTTCTTAAATATTTCTCCTTTACCCCTGTGACTGTTTTCGTCTCATCGGTGCTTTCTCGTAAAATTGTATTGTGTCGAGTTCTCAAGATATGTATAATATAATAGATATATATAGATTACGTCAATTCCATAATTAATGTTCCTATGTTGGACAGTAAAATTAGAAAAAATATATAACTTAAATTTTATCTTGGTGAAATATTTCATGAATAGTGGATTTTCTTTTTACCGACTCAAAATAATTGCTGCAGTTTCAACGTTCTTGTAATTACTGATCCTAAAGGTAAAATAAATAATTGCTTAATATCATACTACGGGATTTAAAAATACGCCCCAGGCTCCTATAATCAACGGAGCTCTCTAACAATCAACAAAATCTCTAAATTTTTTTTATAAAAAGTAATTAACAGAAAACAAGAAAAATGGAGTAAAATATGTTTTGTCTACCATAGAAAATATTCGTTTAACATTTTTTCTCGTTTTAATTAATAAAATAATAACAAGAAGAAATGTAAGATTATATTCACGTTTTTTTATATAAATAGGACACATTTACTTCATTAAAATTTGTTCTCATATTTTTTATCCAATAGTGAAAACGGATCGCTGATAGATTTCGGAAGATCCAGGTAGCCGGCTTAAGCTTTATCTCACATATTGTACCAACAGAGCAATAAAAACCACGGTCAAAAACAGGCATAGATTTTTGAAGATTTGATACAATTTTCGTCTTATAACATTGCCGCCAATTTGAAAGATCGAGTTGAAAATGTAACAAATACAAACTTTCAAAAATCTGTGGCTGTTTTTGATCGTGTTTTTATTGCTCTTTCGACCTAATACTTCCCCGAAATTTTGAAAGACACCTTCGAGGATTACACAAGCTCAGCTAAAATTTATGTTATCGATTTTCTCAGAGACGGCACACGCAATTTCTCGGAAATTCGACAAACACAGTAATGTTATGATAGGTGTTTCAGTGTACATATTAAAATCAATACATCTTCCCTCTTCACAAAGTTGACGAGACTTGATCCAACAAAGAATTTTTAGTATCCCTAAAGACTAAGTATTTCTGCAACAAATCTTCAAATAAAATAGTAGGGGAGAACAAATTGAATCTCTATCACTAAGGCCCGCTC